ATACTGGAGTTGGATCTTAAGGAAAAGTAGGCATTCAGATGCAAAAATGTAAAGTATATTCCAAATGTAAGAAATAATACACTCAAGCAGATACTGTTTGTACCTTTTAGGTGGGAAATTGGTATGGATTAAATATAGACTGTATGTGAGATGTTACAGAGAAATGAAGCTTAAGGGAAAAAAAAGAAAAAAAGACTGAAGTCACATGACCAAGAGCCTGTTGAACTGCACTAAGAGAGTTCGATTGTATCCATTAAATGGTTTTAAGCCAGGGAGTACCAGAACTGGACAGGCATCCAGAAAGCTCAACCTAGCAACAGTGTGAAGAATGATCACAGACACCTGGGACTAGGCAGTTAGTACAGTTAGCAGACAAATAAAATAGTCAAAGCAAGAGATGACAGGGGCCTGAACCAAAGCAAGAACTATGAACAAAGAGAATCAGGAGAAGCAAATTAGCAGGAAGAAAAGACAGTTTGTTGAGTGAAAAGCAAAGAAAAGAGGTACAAGAAGCATAAGAAATATATACCTACTCTTCAGGGGATAGATGAAGTTTAAAGGGAAAATAACCAATTTGCATTTAGACAACTGAATGTAGTGTCCAGTAGCCAGGTAAGTGTTGTATATGAGTCTGGGAGTCAGGTGAAAGATGAATTAGATGCCTATACTGGGAGGCTCAAAATAAGTAACAGTGCATTCTGTCTAAATACTACTCTTCCTTAGGTAAATCTAGTGTTCTAAAAACACCAGACTTCTTACTGCAGCATATCCTGTTTCTACTAACTGGACATATTATTCTACGTATTTTACACCATACTGCATGGTATCCCTTTCTTACAAACACTGAACACTGCTAAGGCTCTACCAATATGTAATCTCAAAAAAAGTGGATAATGATAGCCCAACTCCTACCACTCTCTCTTTTCCAGCTTTGAGGGCCAACAGAAGGGCACGTGATTGGAAATGTTATCAAGACTACCTTATAATTTAAAGTCTAAAAAGAGCGTGTAGTTTATTTAGTCAAACGTCTAATATGTTATTACTTCTGAGAAAAGTATTCTAAATAGAGTTCTAATAAGAATGCCCACATACTATTCAGCAGGAAGGCATGCAATTGAATTGTCTTTACTTTAAATGTGGAAATAAACCACAAATTATCATCAAGGACATTAAGCAAGTTGAGAAAATTTAATTCATATGTAATTATCACCCTTATACTCTGCATTTTATTACCAGGACATATAAATACAAACAATGATGGCATGTAGATAAATAAAACTGACAGCCTATATTCATCTACTAACTGTTCTGTTGACTGATGTGAATGTTAGATGTTAAAAAGGAACTCCGTTCACTGTGACCAAGTGCTCTGGACATCCTCAGACAGAATGAACACAGTGAATCTGCCCACAGCCACAATAACAAACTTAAAAGGGCTTCTCTTTAGGGTGCAATCCTGGACCAAACCTTTACTCTTCTATACTCACTAGTTTCACTAGGCTTAAATCTGAACACTCAGACAGTGACATAGAAAAGTCCTTTCCTAATATTGAGGGAAGTGTTAGAGGCTGAATGTTTGCACCCCCGCCACTCCCACACTCCCAATTCATATAGTGAAACCCAATCCCCCATGTGAGAGTACTCAGAGGTGGGGCCTTTGGGGATGATTAGATTATGCAAAGAGAACCCTCATGAATAGGATTATATAAAGGAGGCTTCAGAGAACATCCTGTCCCACCCGCCATCAGAAGACACAACGAGAAGGCACTGTTATGAACCAGGAGTAGGCCCTTGCCAGACAACGAATCAGCTAAGCACCTTGGTCTTGAACTTTCCAGTCTCCTGAGCTATCAGAAATACATGTCCATTGTTTATAAGTCATCAGGGACTTTGTTAGAAAAGCCTGAACTGACAAAGACAGAAGTCTACAGGTTGAGCCTGGCTAATTGTCCGAACTGGATAATTTTCTCTCTTTAACTTACCTATGTAACCAAAAAGCTCTCAAGTTCCCTGAGATTACCATTAATCGTTATAGAACTCTTATGCTCCTGCTTAGTGTCATGGAAAACTCCTGGAGCAGAAACCATCTAAACGCCTTCCTGATATCAGGCAGACCTCCACAGGGTCCTGGCTGGTGAAACAGAACCTCCTGAGTTGGGCTGGGCCCCGTCTCCTTTTTCACCTCCAATGCCCCAACAACAGGGAACACTTTCACCTCACACATCTACAAAGGTCTTTTCAGCAAGGCAAATGCTCTCTCTTAAAACTAAACACAAGTACACATGGCTCCTCTTAACATTCCTTCCATTAAGCCTCCTTTCCTGCTTTTCAAGGATGCTTAATTCCTAATATACAGGTAAATTCAAGAGCTAAAACTTCAAATAAATGTTTGTGGACTTCCGGTCCAGATGGACAGGTAGGCAGACATGGGTCACCTCTTCACACAACCACATCAATATCACACCTAAAATTTTCAACAACCATCACTCAAAACTGTCAGAAATCAAGTTGAACGGTAGTCTGACAACTACAGAATTAAAGAAACCACATCCATCCATCCAAATTGGTAGGAGAGGCACAGACATGGAAAGGGCTGGTCCCACACCAACATGTGGTGGATAAAAATTTGGGAGGAATATCTCAAAAAAGCAACAGCTGGCCCCAGTGAGCCCCAGACCCAGCACTAGCAGCAGCCAGCCTAGATTCACACCTTGGCTTCACCTGGGAATCTCCAACCCCAGCACAACTAGCAGCCATCTCTGCTTTATAGCTCAGGCAAGGTGGCCCTGAACAAAACGCAGGTGGGGGCTGACCTTGGTCTGCACCACCTGAGAAACCTCAGGGCCACCGCACCCAGTGGACAGCTACAGACCATGTTGGAACACCACCACCCTGCCTCTGCACAGCTAATCCTCTAAGGAGGTTGGAGGCTGGTGGTCAGTGATCACAGAATGCTCTTGCAGCTGACTGACCTGGGTAAATCCCTCCCATTGATCTGCCAACAGCAACCAAGGCTTAACTACAAGAGGAGGGTACTCAGCACACACCTTGAGTACCCAGCTAGGGTGACAGGAAAGTTGTGTCACTGGACCCTTCAGGACACCTACTACATTAGGCCATATTACCAAGACACCCAGCCAAAGCAGCTCTTCCTAATATATAGAAACAAACACTGGGAGGCTGTCAAAATGAAGAAACAAAGAAATATGACCCAAATAAAAGAATAGATAAGAACTCCAGAAAAAGAGCTAAATGAAATGGAAATAAACAATCTATCAGATACAAAGTTCAGAACACTGGTTATGAGGATGCTTCAAGGAATTTAGTAAGGACCTCAGCAGCATAAAAAAGATAGAGTCAGAAACAAAGGATACACTAATTGAAATAAAGAACAATTTATATGGAAACTACAGTAGAGTAGATGAAGCTGAGAATCAAATCAATGATTTGAAACATAAGGAAGCAAAAAACAACCAATCAGAACAAAAAGAAGAAAAAAAGAATCCAAAAATATGAGGAGAGTGCAAGCAGCCTCTGAGACAGCTTCAAACATTCCCACATTCACATCATAGGGGTGCTGGAAGGAGAAGAGAAAGAGCAAGAAACTGGAAATCTATTTGGAAAAATAATGAAAGAAAACTTCCCTGATTTGATGAAGGAAATAGACATGCAAGTTCAGGAAGCACAGAGAGTTCCAAACAAGATGGATGCAAAGAGGCCCACTCCAAGACACATCATAATTAAAATGCCAAAGGTTAAAGATAAAGAGAGAATCTTAAAAGCAGCAAGAGAAGAGCAGTTAGTTACCTACAGGGGATTTCCATAAGACTGTCAGCTGATTTCTCTAAAGAAACTATGCAGGCTAGAAGGGACTGGCAAGAAATATTCAAAGTCATGAAAAGCAGGGACCTATAGCCAAGATTGCTCTACCCAGCAAAGCTATCATGTAGAATCAAAAGACAGATAAAGAGCTTCCCAGACTAGAATAAAGGAGTTCATCATCACCAAACTATTATTATATGAAATGTTAAAGGGACTTATTTAAAAAAAAAAAAAGATCAGCCTTGGTTGGTGTGGCTCAATGGACTGAGTGTCAAAACTGCGAACCAAAGGGTTGCCAGTTTGATTCCCAGTCAGGGCACATGCCTGGGCTGCAGGGCCAGGTCCCCAGTAGGGGGTGCGCGAGAGGCAACCACACATTGACGTTTCTCTCTCTTCTCTTTCTCCTTCTCTTCCCCTCTCTAAAAATAAATATTTTTTAAAAAAGAAAAAGATCAAAACTATGAACAATAAAATGCAAAAATACATACCTATCAACAATTGAATCTAAAAAATAAACCAAGCAAACAAGAACAGAGAGACAGAATCATGGATATGGAGACCATTTGGATGGGAGGAGGGTGTGGGAAATGGACAAAGAATTGAGGGGCTTAAGAAGTGCAAACAGGTAGTTACAGAATAGCCGGGAGGATGTAAAGTACAGTATAGGAAATGGAGTAGCCAAAGAACTTATACGTATGACTCATGGACGTGAACAATGGGGGGCGGGGGGGAGTCCGCCTGAGGGAATGGGGGTTGCCGGGTAGAGAGGAACAAAGGGGGGAATAAAAAAATCAACACAACTGTCATAGCATAATCAATAAAATATATGTTTTAAAAAAGAAATGGAAGAAGAGAATAAACAATAAAAATTAGGAACAACTGGGACAAAAACAAAAAAATTATTTTTGAATCAGTTCTTTCAGTCTCTAATAAGTTTGTGAGCATTCTATTATGTCTGCTTATAATATAAGTGAAAAAGCAGGTACACACAATAGCAAAAAGTTATAGGTGATTCTCCCTACACAAGTTTTCAGTATGTACCAAATTCCTACAAGGAACATAAAATATGTCATAATAAAAACATAAAATATGTTTATTTTAAAGCTGAATTTGGCACTAATAAAGAAAAATACAGTATTTTTCTAAAACAATATAAATGAACTTGAAACTTCACTTACTTTCTGCTCAGGGCTTTCCTGAAATGTAAGTCCAAAGTAGTCCTTCTCCAAGAGGTTGAGATGTTCACACACTTTGTCAAATAACACTTGTCCCTTAGCACTTTTCTGAGGGAAAAGAAATAATATCTTTACTTTTCAAGCACTAGAGATTCCATGAGTACTACTAATAAAGAGCATCTTATAACATTTCTTAGCTTAAAATAATACATTTGTTTTCTAATCTTTTATAACTATACAAAGCATAAATTCTAAAATAAACACACATAATCAGAAAGACACTCCATGTTTTATGCTTTTCTATATAAATACAAAAGGATTAAAAAAGTAAAATGCTAAGAGTTCACTTATTTATAAAACATATAAAAATATGTGCAAACTGACTCAATTCCTCAGAATTGCTCATGTCCTATCTATTTACAAGGTATGCTGCCCTCTAGGAAACTCATTTAGCCTTATTCCTCAGTGTAGCCTAATACAATTGATCCCATCAGCACTTAGGTTTGATTTTGTTCTGTGATATTTGTAGAAGAATTTTTTTTTCAATACAAGCTATAATTTTTTTTTTGAGAATGATCTAGCATTAACGCTTTAGAACAAAGTTTAAAAATATAAGGTAATGGAACTGGGACAATAAATCAGCTGCCTCTAGGATTTAACATATTTTTGTATTAGTTTGTGTTTTGTTTTTTTAAGAAGCTGCTATCAGCAGAGATGTAAAAGCCTTTGACAGACAAGGAAGAAAAGCCCATTGTGTAATCAATGGCAAAACATAAAGCGGTGACTCATTTCCAATTAAGATGCACACCCCTGAGAATGCCCAACTGCAAGGTCAGGTCACATCGCCTCCCTCCCCCCCCCCCGCCCCCACACCCCCCCCACAACAGCGATGTAAGCAACCACCACTGCAAGTGAAAAATGAACAAGCCACCAGACTTTTCTGTCCTCAAGATGAATGTCCTCACACTATCAAAGTACATACTTGTTAGTTATCCAGTGTGTGAAAATTAAAGTTTCCCACATCTGTACCTTTAAAAATGTAGTAAGATATAAAAGACATTTTATTAATAATTTCAAATAAGTATAACTGTGATAAGGGGTTACAAACAATAGTTTTCACAGAAACTCAATTCAAGGGCTTATTTCTCTCCTCTAACCTTTTAGTCCCCCTCTTTGTGGGAGCAGAGGTAAGAAATGCATGCGTGAAATGTTTGCAAAGGAGAATCTAGAATTACTATTATTAAACCTTTTATAGTAATATTCTTAAAAAATAAATTAATTCAAATAGTAATGAGGAAGAAAGCCACATAGATTACATTACAATATGACAGACAATGTGCTATTCACATCACTACATATCCAGAAAATTAAATTAATAAGTACATTTAAGATAGGTGTTTATATGTCCTTGCATTTAAAGTACATAGAAATATAGTATAGTAAATTAAGAGTATTGGGATCTGGATTCCAAATACCAAAGTTCTGAATGCATTCCTATTATTTACAAGCTATATAACCAGGGACAGGACACAACTTCTAATTGCCTAATTTTGCCCATCCTTGAAAGGGGAATAATAAAATTTACCACAAAGGGCATGGTGAGTACTAAATGAGCTGTAATACATAGAGAGAGCCTAGAACACTGTGCCTAATCAATACTGGCTCCTATTGTTTATAAGCTGGAGAGTTTTAGAACATGAAAAATGACTAATTTCATTTATATGAAACTTTGCTTTAAGTTTTTAAAATGAGAGGTTCTAAATTTTATTATCTAATCTGCAAGAATTATTAATATATACATTTAAAACTGAATTTGGAGGTATTTTAAAATAATTTTATGAGAAGAGGGTGGCTGAAATCATGACAGTTATTTTCTTAAATGTGCAGTGAAACCCACTGTCTCTTCTTTATAGGAGGCTGGAGTAGATGTGAGATCTGGTTGCAAATAATAGCAAAGAATATTTTAAAGGTGATCGATAATCTAAGCTAGAATTTGCTTTCTCTTGCATTAATTTCATTGTTCTGAATGTCCTGAATCTCTACATTGTTCCACTCCTGAATCTCCAATGAGTAGAAGACTGGCTGGCACAACAGGAGCTGAAGAAAATACCTGTATGTAACATACTGTAAATGAGGTGACACTGCACCGGCTAAGGCTCACAGTGACTGACTACAGCTATACTTTCCGTGCCTGAGTTGTAATTAGGAACTTTCCCTACCTGAGGTAACAAAGGGAGCGAGCTTTTAGAGCTCCCGCCACATTTATCTACTTAGATTATCACCCACCATGCTTTATTATGAGGTATAAACGAGTCACAGAGGACATTTTATCTACTATAAAGAATTATCTTCTTACTTAAAAAGACACTAAAAAAAGTCAATGGAAGCTTATACAAGAAGTTGACCTTTAATCAGATATAATTCTCAAAGATTGTTTCTATGACTATAAAGACAACTACTTTCAAAATAGCAAAATACTGAAACTTAGTAGCTGCAGATATCGCAGAAGAAACGTGACAAGAGTCAAGACGAGATGCATACTATTTCATTTGGTTATAATGCTATTTGAAATTACAGTGAAAAAGATATTTAAGACAACTGTTGTCTATAAATATATACCCTCCGTTCAAAGGGAGAGCACATTCCAACATTGGTGTAGAGTCAATTTTTGTTAATAAATCATACTTCCTCACTGGTATGTTTCAAAAATAGAAACATGCTCTAGTGGACAGAATTCCCCTCTAAGATTAAGAGGGAAACATCCACAAAGCTCACCACCACAATGTAGTGTTGGGAGGCTGGGCAGCAGAGCGGGGCATCAGCATGAGCTGGGATCAGACCCAGCCCCACCTCACTCAACATTCCGTAAGCACTTTACTATTTAACTAGATGAATGTGACAATGGACAAACCACTTAGTGGCCCTAAAGTAAAATGTAAAGTGAGATCACAGCTTTTTTAACAGCTCACTGTAAGGGTCAGATTAACCCAGTAAGATAGTATATGACCAAGTGCCAAACTAAGTGCCTTACTCAATCGTAGCTGAATTCTATTCCCAACTGTTCTTTTACTAGCCTACAACTAAAAAACTGCCAAAATATCTTCTAGATACTCAGATTGCTTCTCTACTATTCTCTCCTTCTCTCTCCACGAAACAGATATTTTAAATGCTTGATAAGATCTTAACTGCACACACATATCATTTAAGCTTCCATTCAGCATCTCCACCTTCAATGAATGCAAAGTCTGACTGGAAAGACAAAAAATGCAACAATACTATGAGACACGTGCTGAAAGATTCATATACAAAGTGCTATGGGAACACCAAGATTGGAATCAGAATGTGAGAAAAATCACAGCTTCACCACGACTGACATCTGAAATGAATCTTAAAGAGGGAAATGATTTTTTTTAAGGCAGAGAAACAGAATACTCAAAAGAACTTAATTTTTTACTTTGGATGTTTAGATTCTGACAGAGACAATTTTTATTCCAAAGATACTGGAGGATACAATAGATGAAAAAAAGTAACCCATCCGTAATGGACTAGCCATGCAATATGACTGACGGATATTCTGTCCTACTCTCCGATGACCATGAGGGCCTGCCATTCTAAAAGGCTCAATACGTACTGATACAACATCTAATATGCATCAGTTCCTATGATAAGATATTGGGGAAATAACAATAAATAAGATCTACGTGGTCTCAGGAACTTTATATTCAACTGGCCAAGACAGAAAATAAAAAGGAAACACCCCCCCACCACCCCTCAAAAAGTCTTATTAATCTACCACTTCGGACATAACCGGGTACCTTGTCCAACGGATCCAAAGACAAATGATCAATGGCCTATGAGATAGCCTGACACAAGAGCTCTACCCAAAGACTATGTCTTACTCTGGGGATAAGATTACCGGATACAATCACATCTTCCTATATGGAGGTTACACACAAGACGAATACACACACAGACTTATGTATAGACACACAAAGTCATAGAGAAGTACAAACACAGAGGAAAAGACAATGAGAAGACAGTAAGCAAAACACAAAGGTATTGGGAAGCAGACTTGTATTTGCCAAAATATGTTCCAGGGGTCTCATGAGATGGTCCACCTATATACCCATATCCCCAGAAAGGGGATAGAGTGGGACAAGAAAAATTCTGGGTACTGTATATAACTACTAAGCATCAAAAGTCCTGTTTGCATTTAAGACAGGTACCCTAAGAAGTTCTATGATGAAACAAAAAACTCATGTCCTATCATTCAACCTAATGCTTCTCAAAATTTGGCAAACAAAAACAAAAAACAAACAAACAAAAAAAACCCCTGCTATCTTTTAAAAGTGAGACACAAGTATTTAACTGAACTGAACTTTTCTCAAGACTGAGACTGGTTTAATGACATAAAGAACAATCTACCAACCCAACTTCCAGAAAGTGAAACTTCCAGGGACGTTTCAGAGGGGACTATGGGGGTCCAGAACAAGTCACCCCAAGCTGTGCTGCAGTGGTATGCAGACTATTTGAAGCTACAGGTGACTTTAGCTGCAGGCTCAGGAGAAACTTCATCGTAACTGCCTACAAGAATTTGAATTACAGACCTTCCCCATAAAAGATTACCTGCAATAACCTTTTTGACCCACCTACATGGCAGGGCCAAATTTTATTTACCAAACATCTGCTCTTCTTATCATCCTGCAATGCCCTTTGACACCCCCAAGGTGCATTACCGCATCCCTAGCTCAGAATGTCTTATCCCCCTTTCTGTCTCTGAGCCTCTCTTGTATGTGGGGTCCTGACTCGATCACATATGCAGGGTCCCCATACATATGTATGTTTTGAATTTGGTTATTTTCTCTTGCTAAAAATGAAACAAAGTTTAAAGTAAAATAAAATAAAATACTAACTTATTCCACAGCAGAATTAGTGTTCAAGAGAACACAGCTCAAGAAAGGAGGTAGAGAATTACGATGATCTGGCCCTCATGCAAATTTGAAGACTGGCATTAATTAACATTATCTTTTTGGTTTAAAAACACCAAAAAAGACAATTCAGTTTAAACTGGATTGGATGTGCCCAGCTGTCTGGCAGAAGAAAATAAT